TCGCGTGCCAACAGACAATTACAGCTGAGCAGACTGCCCAACTGTTCATCGCCAACGTCATTCGATTGCACGGACTGCCTACCGCAATTATTTCAGACCGAGACCCGAAATTCACATCGAATTTCTGGCGCCACCTGTGGGACCAGTTCGGCATCAAACTACAGTTTTCCTCCGCCTACCACCCACAGACCGACGGGCAGACCGAACGAGTCAACCAAACTACGGAGCACCTCATTCGGACTACCTGTACTGACCCACAAACATGGTAGAAATCCCTTCCGCTACTGGAATTCGTGTATAATAACGCGCCCTCTGCCTCAACCCATCAATCCCCATTTGAACTCAACTACGCACAGGACCCAGTGGTACCCTCTACCCCGAACATCGAGACACCCGTGCCCCGGTCCCATAAATTTGCTTAAGACATTCTCACCGCCTGAGAAAAAGCAGCTGAGGCAATCAGGAAAGCCAACCTGGTCGCAAGCCGACAAGCCGATCGCCATCGCCGTGGCGTCACTTACAAAGTGGGAGATCTCGTCCTACTCGACACTCGCAATTTGCAGCTGCCAATCCCGAGCAAGCTCCGACCCAGATTCTGTGGGCCTTTTCAAGTGACAAATATGGTGACACCTGTCACTGCTCAACCCCGACTCCCGGCTGATTGGTGTCACCACCCGACTTTCCACGTCAGCCTCTTACGGCCCTACGTCCCCAGTTCGTCGGAATTGGCACGCCAACGCAGTGTACCGCAGCTGACGCCCCTGCAGGAACCGACTACCGAGCCCTTGAAAATTCTCGGCCATCGAGTCACGGCGCTACTGAACTGTCGGATGGTTGATTTTCTCGTCTGCTGGTGTGATCGCACGTCAGAAGATGACAGCTGGGTGCCGCTCGCTGAGCTAGAATCACACCCGATTCTAACCGCGTATTATCAGCGTCGGAATGTTTCCGATGCCCGCAGTCTCGTTTAGGAGGGGGGGGGTAGTGTAAGGAATTTCCATTCCTTACTGAGTTGTACGCTAGTGCGTACACCCGAACTCCTCGACTCGTCACGTTCGACCTCGTTTATCGGCCTAACCCTTTCCCGAGTCGCGTCCGGCACTGTCGCCACATTGCCGAACCTACCCACGTTCCGAGGTTATCACCCTAGCACGCCAACCCTTATATAACCTCATGCCTTCATTGCAATAGCGACCTTGTATTCTCACGTTATAGTACATTGACACTTCCTATATCATAACAGACATCAACACCATACCGTTTCAGTTACGCGAATAGACGTAACGAACCGCTTCAGTTATGCGAACAGTCGCGACCCTATACAATGAGGAATAGGTCGCATAGTGCCCAATTAGCCGCACAGGTACTTTCCCCAGAGCTATAAATCCTTGTAATGCCTTTCTATTATTAACCTTGACTTTACACAGAATTATTTGCTCAGGTTATTCAACCTTCGACTACCCACAAGTTCATGTGCTCAGGTTCACTCTTATAAGACTTCCGCTGTCTTACTAGTCTACCATTCTAGCAAAGATCCTTGTTCAAGTCTTCAAGTATCACAAGGCTGTAACACTAACTCTGGTATTACACCTTGTTAAATACTGGCTGTTACTGGAGGTACTTTCAGTATTCTTTTCTACTTCAAGTACTTGTGTTTACAGATTCTATATTTGTCTTCTGCACCATTTTACAAATTATTACACTCGACACCCAGGAACTTCGACTGCCCATCGTCCCAAAACTTCGCCCTCGCTACTGCGGACCGTTTACCATCAGCCACATGATATCTTCTGTTACAGCCCACCTACTGTTACCGGCCACCTGGAACGTCAGCCTATCATTCCACGTGCGGTTACTTCGACCATGCTAGCACTAGTAAATTACCACGTCACCGAGCGAATCCGAACATCCGACCACTCGCCGAGCCTACTGTCGAACCTGCGAAGATTCTTAGCCATCGGATCAAAGGGCACGCCTCATTGAGTTTTGATATCCTGGTAGGGCCGGACGTCCCTGGAAAACAGTTGGGTGCCCCTGATACAGATCGAGAATTACCCATTGTTACGAGTCTACCTCCAGTCACGTAATGTGCGCGACGTCGGCGGTCTTAGCTAAGGCCATACCTTGGAGGGGGGGGGTGTAACGAAATGGTATTTCCTTATCACATATTTTAGTTAATAAGGCATACACTACTATAACGGGGTTGCCGCGCAGATCTGCCACGAAATTCAAAGCGCGGTACCCAATGTGGCCTCCTGACGAGCCACACGCATTTTACCGGCCCTGCTGTTTCATGCCTAGATCTTGGCACTTCGCGCCAAATACGAACCACACGTTGCAGCTCTGCCGAGCCACCCTATATCCATGCTCCCTATTGTTTTGATGTTGCCTCAGTTGTATTGCTTCCTCGTTACTCAATCCTTCGACACACACTCTTTGCGTTTCATTACAATATGTTTCTCATCGTAAGATCCTGGATCGACAGGACAACTTACAGCAAGGATCAGTCTCCCCAAGAAAGACTGCAAGCCTAGAGGATGGACCTTCCCGCATGCGCAGCGGCACTTCCTTGGGACCGTCTGCTGGTTATTTTGACGGGAAGGGGAACGGGTACGAAGAGTGGCACGGGCTACAGTCTCCTGGGCGAACAGAAGTTACGTGGCCGAACGTACTCGATAGTTTTATTTGTGCCTGCGCGGACCGGATGTCAAGACAGTCAAGTTAAATGATGGCAGCGGTCAAGCTCACAGAAATGAGTAAAACAGATTTGCTAACGATATACAGTGACAACTTTCAGAGGTGGGGACCTTCTACGAAAAACAAATCCCGACCATTCAAATTTGATTTGGCCAATCAAACACGAGTGCACTGGCCAGCTCTATGTGCCATGGCGATCCCCCTTGGCTTCATACCACGACCTTGGTGGCAGGGCACTTGTTAACAGGGTAATTACCCTGACTTGATAAAAAAATCAAGATGTTTTCGAGGCAGACCCTGTGTTTTCCAGAGCTTTGTTCAAGCCAGACCTAAGAGAATCATGGGGATTTATCTACTGGCCCGTAGGAGTCCGGGGTGGTTTTGAGGGGGCCCAGACATCTAGTTAGCCTCTAGGGGGTGTAGGAATCTGTCAAACTTCCCGTTCTTCCCTTTCAACCTTAGCCCAAGTCTGCTCTTCCCGTTTTCCCTTAATTTAGCGGTTGGTTTTAAAATGAGCTGCCGGGAACAATTGTTCACGCCATTCAAACTCGCCCCATCCCTCCCACCAAACCCCCTTTCTTCCCAGCCCCCTGGCCTAAATATAACACCTTCACGTGTTTCCCAGCATAGGTGCTGGTGCGGGTTTCCCACCCCGAAGTCGCCCACTTGCACCCTCACTATCTTGTCCAGCAAATATGGGTTATAACCTATCATACCTTTTTTAGCACGCAACCTGAAGAATCATGGTAAATTTCTTACAAAGTCGGATTCTACAGGGCGATTGTCCGAGGGGCCTGGATCGTCCGAGATGGCGAAAAACCTAGCGAGAGCCCTAATTGGTGGTATGAGTTGTGTGGGGGGAATGACACTAAGTTTGCCCCTGAGCTCTGGCTGGCGAATTTTGTACGCTTTTGGGGGGAACAGAAAGAGGCACGCGACTTGGGAGTTTGAGGATTGGAAATCGCCAACTAAACCCAAACCGTCGCATGATGACGTCTTGCGTCGCACCAAACTTTCAGCGACCCAACGAACCCCCGTTTTATGTTCCGTATGCCAACACTGCCTCTCCGTGCCACTGTAAAATTGACCAACGAACAACCTCCTGGGTCCTGGATAGGGCATATGTTATCAGGGCATTTGCCATGACTTGACTGAAATTCTAAGGTAGTTTTCGTACCAGCTCTGATTTTCTCCGGGTTCTTCTCCACACAGCCCTGACAAAATTCGGGAAGGTCTCAAGGCGACCCTGGAAAATCCGAGTAGAGTTTTTTGCGACCCTGATTTTTCCCACTACCCACACCCTCCCCTCCCGGTGCCCCCCCCCCCCCCCCCTTAGAATAGAGTTTCTCCTACTCCCTAACACCCGTCACCCTTCCTAAGACCCGGCTACCAGGCTATTACTTCAGTTGGGAAGGAGTACTTCCAACACACCCCTAGAACACACGTGACTCCGATGAGCCGTGGAGCATGGAACAACCTCAAGAAAGAATCCTTGAAAATGTGCGCCCTCCGAGCATTTTTCCGGCTGGCCCTGAAAAAACAGAGAAGTTCAGATTCAGACCCTGAGTTTTCAGGGTGAAATTCGAAGGGAGCCCTGAGCGCCAGAGCTGTTCAAAAACCTGACATAAGCCCTGGTCCTGGGCGAACACATCCCCTCGCAGAACCCTGTTTCCCCGCTCATTCCCCCCCACCCGCCCCTCCCCCAACCTCTTCCCCCACCCATCCAGTCTGATGGGGCATGCATCAACAGCACCATCATCTTCCGCCCGAACCACCCCACCCAGCAAGCTCTCCGACACTGTACTGAACTGCCAAGAAGATGCTGAGGGCGTGTTGTTTTCGCTTGCATTCACGGGCATCACCAGAAAAAACCGATGCTGGCATCGATCAGCATCGGCCTGTGATCGATGCCCAGTTAAAGTTACAAATTTCGTTTATCAAGCGAACTACTGCGAAAAACGTCGTTAAGTTCCCGGAAACAAGTAACTTTTCGTCATTGTTTGAGACGGCGCGGAGTGTGCAGGTGTACATTTGATGATCGATACTGAATCGATGCCCGCGAGCCTTAAAATGACGCGCCCTAAGAGCGTGTAACATTTTTTACGAACACGCCTCAGGGTCGACCGTTCAGAAAGGTTCAACGCGGTCTGAGAGGTTTTATTACGATTTATATTAAAAAACACGTGTTACAATACGGTGAATGTTCGGTTCGGAAGATGTTGGAGAAAATGTTACATGACCTAATCACGACCTTGCCCTGCCTGCAGTCGGTTGAGGGCCCTCTCTGATCTGGCCACCTTGTTGTTGTTGACCCAGCAAACCCTAACCTGCTGCAGAATCTACTCGCCCTGTTGCTCCGAAATTCCTTGATTCATGCTGGCCCTTGCAGTCTCTCTCACCGCCATGAATCGCGCGATCCGCGTGCCAATGCTCACCCGATGCCGACAATGCAGCTAGACTTGTTTATTTATGGAGGAAATCTCTGCTCATGTTGGAATGCGCAGCCATGAGCGGAGCGCACAGTAGCACCACCCCAGCATCGCAAGGCACGTCTGCCCGTTCTCCTCGTCCATGGGGCGTTCAGATGCATATGCTACCGACGCCTCCGCTCCCGCGTCGGGTGTCGCTAGCGTCGCAGGCTCTGCTGCCTTCCGTCCCCCTAAACGTAGCCTATCCAATCGAGGCCCCAAGGAAGCGACGTCCCTCCCAAAGATCCCCTTGCACTCCAAGAAACCTCCTAGCCAAGCGCTCTCCGCGTTGTCGTTGTGCCGGCCTACTCGCAGCGCCAGCAACACCCCGATCAGCAGCCCGGGGCCTTCCAGCCCCACGAGCTTGGCCCTGCCCGCGCGCAGCAGCACCGCGGGCTCGCACGCGCAAATGCCGCTGCAGAGCGGGACGCGGCAAACGCGCGGAAACAGCAACTTGCGGCAGGGCAGTGCGGATCGTTCCGCGGGAAATAGCCGGCTGTGGCGGGAAGTGTCGGATCGTTCCGCGGAGCGTAGAAATGAGCATGTGCGGGACAGCGGTGGGGGGGCGCCTAGGCGGAGGGATTCGGCGTGGGGAGATGCGCGAGGGGGGGTAGATGAGGATGTGAAGGTGAACGAACGGCGGTGGCAGCCGAAGGGGGGTGGTGCTGCTACCGACGAGGAGGAAGAATGGAAAGAGGAGGATGAGGAGGGTGAAGAGGAGCAGGAGGAGGAGGAGGAGGAGGAAGAAGAAGAAGAAGAGGAGGAGGAAGAGGAGGAGGAAGAGGAGGAAGAGGAGGAAAGGGGGATTGGGGCGGATGCAGGGGAGGTGGAAGAGGAGGAGGAGGAGGAAGGGGGGGATGAAGCGGAGCGAGAAGGCGACGACGAGGAAGGCGAGGAGGACGATCGGAGCAGGGGAAGTGCGCAGAGTGCAAGCGACGAGGAGTCGGACGAGGACGACGAGGAGGACGAGGAGGAGCGAGACGGGGATGCGGCGTGGTCGCAGAGCCAGCAGCACCGGCGGAACGTGTCTCAGCCCAACATCCGCGCGTCCCGCGCGTCCTGGGCGCAATCGCAGCGCGCCCGGGCGTCGGCGCGTTATCCCAGTCACGCGTCTGTTGTTGAAGAGGACAAAACTACGCTTGCCCAACCCGCCGCCGCCTCGTCCGCCCGCTCGCCGGGCCCTTCCCCCGCGCGCTCGCCCGCGGGGTCCGCCGCCGCGGCTGCGCGCGCGGGGAGTCCGCGCATGGGAAGCAGCGCGGGGTCGCCGTCGTCCGCGCGGTGGAGCACGCGCAGGAAGCCGTGGACCCCCACCGCGATGGGGGGAGGCACGGGGGGGTTCGATAGTAGCTGCTGCAGCAGTAGCAGCGAGGAGGGGCTGGGACTGCGGGATGGTCGGGTAGAGGAGGAGGGCTGTTTCGTGGGTGATGAGGGGGGAGAGGAGAAGGAGAGGAGGGAGGATGAGGAGGGGCACGAGGAGGAGGGGCACGATGAGCGGAAGCGAGAGGACGGCGCGCGAGGGTCTCATTCGTTCCGCCGGCTTCGCATCGTGCCTCCGCGTCTCGAGACCCAATCGAACAGGCGCAGGGCGCACGTGGGGGAGCCTGTCTCCCCCCCCTCCGCGCGCTCCTCCGCCTCTGTCCTTGCCTCCGCGCGCCCATCCCCCCGTCCGCTGCTCACCGCGGGTCCCTCTTGCATCGATCTAGTAGAACTCCCCACCCAAAAGGCGCCAAGCCCCTCGGATTCCGACGCCTCCGCCTCCCGTCGCGCTGATTTCCCCCCCGCCGTTGGCGGAAAGCCCACAGGGAGAAGCCCCCATCCGGCCGCGCGCTCGCCTTCAATATCCGCCTCGTCGCCCGCAGGCGGGCGCGGTAAAGGGGGCGCGGGGAGTAAAGGGCGCAGGGAAGGCGCGGAAAGCGGGAGGAGGGGGGACGAACGGGGGGGAAAGGAGGGAGCGGGCGCAAGCCGAGGGTGGTCGAGAGACGAAGCGGAAGCAGACTCGCCTGTAGACTTCGCGCGGGGTATGGCTGGAGGCGCAGGGCTGGGGGTCAAGGAGCGAGCGGGCGGACAGCGCACGAGCGTAGAAGGGTCATTTGACTATGTGAGCGGAAGTGGGAGCATAAGTCGGAGTGGCAGTGGTGTGAACGGGCTTGTTCTAGGGATGGTGGGTGCGAGCCCTAGGGGCAGAAGCGGCAGTGGTGCGGCAGTGCCTAGTAATCCGCCTCGAATCACTCGCACTGGCAGCGGTGCGAGCAGCGCTGTTGGCGCAGAGAGGGGGGATAGGGGAGAGCGGAGAGAGAGAGGGGAGAGGGGAGAGCGGAGAGAGTGGGGGGAGAGAGGAGAGAGGGGAGATTGGGGAGACAGGGGAGAGAGGGAAGAGAGAGTAGAAAGAGGAGAGAGAGCACAGAGAGTCGAGAAAGGAGAAAGAGAGAGAAGAGAGATGGGTGAGGGGGGTGAGAGAGGAGAGCGGGGAGAAAGAGGAGAGAGAGTTTTGAGAGGAGAGAGGGGGGGAAGAGACGAGAGAAGAGAGAGAGAAGACAGAGGAGAGAAAGGAGAGAGAGGGAGGAGAGAGAGGGGGGAGGGGGGCGAGAGGGGAGAAAGGGGAGAGGAGGGTGAGAGGAGAGAGAGAGGAGAGAGAGGAGAGAGACGAGAGAGGGGAGAGAGGGGAGAGAGAGGAGAGAGGGGAGAGAGAGGAGAGAGAGGAGAGAGGGGAGAGAGAGGAGAGAGAGGAGAGAGGGGAGAGAGGGAGCGCAGTACCTCTTCTGTGCCGTCGCTTGCCTTTGCAAGCCCTCGCTCAAGAGCCCCTCTGTTTGAAGCACATCTCGCAAAGTCACAGGAAGCGGCAGCGGTTGTGGAGGCCAGGCAAATGCAAGCAGCAGCAGGGGGGCCAGGGGCGGGGGCGTCTGCTGCAGTGGGCGCGTTAGGTAGGAGGAGAAGCGGCGGTGCGTGGATGGATTCCAGGCCGACACAAACAGCAGGTCCGAGAGGGGAGTGGGAAGCGGAAGGGGAGAGAGATGGGAAGAGTGGAAGAGGGGGAGTGGCGGGGACCAGAAGGGACGTGCAAGGCGTGCGCGCGGACAGTGACCTGGACGTTACTCTGGAGTGGACTTTTGGGCACGAGTCGGGTCAGGCCGAGGATGATTCGGGGAGAGTTGAGAGTAGAGAGGAGGATGAGGACGCGGAGGAGGAAGAAGAAGAGGAGGACGAGGAAGAAGAGGAAGAGGAGGAAGAAGAGGAAGAAGAGGAGGAGGAAGAGGAGGAAGAGGAGGAAGAGGAGGAAGAGGAGGAAGAGGAGGAAGAGGAGGAGGGGGAGCGAGGTAGGAACGGGTTGTTGGATGTGAGGCGGCACGGTGATCGTGTGGTGGTGAACGCCGTACACCACGACCCGCCTAAAATGCACCGTGCAGCATCCAAGACTTACGACCCCTCCCCCCATGCCGTGAAGCGCCATGCGAGAGGCGCCACACCATCCCCATCCGCACCAGCATCAGCATCAGCATCAGCAGCAATGTCAAAGTCAGCATCAGCATCCGCACATCGAGCCTCTAGTGGGGCGTTTCCTGCGTCTGGGGGAGTGTCAGGGCAGGCATCAGTTGGGGTGGTGCCGTCGGCAGCAGGAGGGAACGAGCTGGCTCGTAACCCCACCTCACCGTCCGCCTCCAGACTGCCACTCGCGCTCCCTGCTGCTGCAGCAGCAGCGGCGACAGCAGGGGGGGTGGGGCTGGGAGGGGGGATGGGCATGAGCGGCATTCGGCCGACTGCTTTGAGCCTGCGTCTGCCTGTGAGGGTGGCAGCTGAGGTGGCGCGGAGTGACAACGGCAGTGACTGCAGGGAGAGCGAGGGGGAGAGCGAGGGGGGCGGCAGCGACGCCTGCAGCAACAGGCTTGCTGACGTCATGAGCAACAGGTTTAGTGAGGAGTTGAGTGGGCGGTTCAGTGGTAGGGAGGGGGAGTTTGAGAGGGAGAGTGGGGCTGAGAGCAGTGGCAGTTACCGGGAGGAGCCATGGAAGGGTGTGGATCCGTGGAGCGATGAGGAGGGGAGGGGTGATGGGGATGGGTGGAGGGAAGGCGGGAGTTGGAAAGGGGAAGAGGAGGGGAGGAGGAAGAAGACGTTGGATAAACAGAGGTATCTGGATGCTGATAGGGAGGAGGAGGACGAGGGGGAGAAGGTGGGGATAGGTGCAGAGGAGTATGAGAGCACGGGGAGGTGGCGAGGGGAGGAGAGGGGCGGGCGGGAGCAGCAGAAGCAGAAAGGGGATGGGACGCAAAGGGAGGAGAGGTGGGACGACAAAGGCCACGTGTCGGGGCCAGAGGGAGGGAGGGACGAGGAGGGGTGGGGGGGTGATGACGAGCGCAAAGTGCACGGGAAGTATCGGGATCGAGGGCGGCACAGGGATGAAGAGCAATGGCTAATGGGCAGGGAGCAGAGACACCAGAATCGATCGGATGATGAGAGGCAGAGGGGCGGGGAGAGGCAGAGGAGGGAGGAGAGGTGGGTGAAGGAGGAGAGGCGAGGCGAGGCTAGAAGTACTGAGGCACTGATTCCCCTGGCTGCATGCGCGCCCCTCCCCCCTACTGTTGGCCAGGCAGGGAGGTCAGTGTCGCAGACGAGCAGGGGGGCGAGGGAGGCAGAAGGGGGGAGGGCTACCAGCAGGGGGGCTATGAACGGAGTGTTGCTGCAGTCAGGAGCCAAGGGGCGGGAGGAGCCACGAACTGATGCCTCCCCTGCTGCTGCTTCCTCAGCGTCAGGAGCAGGAGGAGCAGGAGGAGCAGGAGCAGGAGCAGGAGGGTCGAGCCTGAGGTCCCCTGGCCGGTGGTTTGGGAGTCAGGAGGCGAAGCCTCGGGCCAGCAGCATGCGGTCAGCAGGCACAGAGCGGGTGATGGAGGAGCCCAGGAAGGGCGGCAAGAGCCTGGACCTGCGCCGCCTCAGACTCTCCCTCTTTGAAGAGGAGGGAGGCAAGGTGGAGAAAAGCGGCAGTGGGGCGGGTAGAGGCGGGGGAAAGGGCGCGGGGAGCGAGGAGGAGGTGGAGGATGGGAGGGATGGGAGAGGGAAGAGAGGAGGGGATGGAGGGCGCGGGAGCGGGGATGAGGAGGGTAGGGGGGATGAGGAGCATGTTGTGAGGAGACAGGGGCGAGGGGGACGAGGGAAGGGGGGCGGTGGAGGGGCGGAAGGGGGAGGAGGGGGAGGAGGAGGAGGTGGAGGAGGGGGAGGGGGGAGGCGCGGGTTGTTGGATGTGTTGAAAGGGCAGCTCAAGTCCCCCCGGCGGCCGTCCCACCAGGCAGAGGAGAAAGGCCCAGGCTCTGGTCCTGCTGCCACTGCCAATGCCACTGCTGCTGCTGCTTCCAGTGCTGCTGCTGCTGCTGCTAGTGGTGGTGGTGGCAGCGGCAGCCACAGTGGTGGGTGGTGGGACTCGTCTCGCCGGCAACCATCATCCACCCCTCGTTCGTCCACCACCACCCCTCGCTCCACCACCACTCCTCACTCCTCGGGCCCCTCTCAGACCACCACGCCACGCGCCCCCTCCGCCACCACCCCCACCTCTTCCTCCTCCGCCTCCCCCACCGCTGATCCTGCTCCCGTGGGGGGAGCGGGTGGGGGACATGGGGGCGGAGGGGGAGCGGGAGGGGGAGGAGGGGGAGGGGGAGGGTCTACAGGAGTAGGAGCGGGGAGAGATGCAGGAGGGGCGTGTTGGAGTCCGCGAGACTCTTCGTCCGCCGTTCCATCCTCCACGTCTGCGTCTACCACGGCCTCCTCTGCCTCTGTGCCCCCCCTCGTCCTGCCCACGCCTGACAAGTCCCGCGGGTGGACCAGAGCCGCCTGGGTGCGCGCTTCCAAGAGCGTGGCAGGCGGTGGGCTGTCCCCCACTGGTCCCTCTGCAGGTGCAGGCTCGGCTGGGGGAGGGTTATCTGGGGGAGGTGCGGGCTCAAGTGTGATTTCTGGTGGTGCTGGTGGTGCAGGGGCGGGTGGTGCAGGGGGGATGGGAGACGGTGGGAATGTCAGCAGAAGCGGTGCTTTCTCGTCTAAGAGCATGCGGGTGGATGGGGCCAGGGAGAGGGAGAGGGAGAGGGAGAGGGGTAAGGAGCAGGAGAGGGGCAGGGAGGAGGAGGGAGAGTCGGTGAGGGAGGAGAGGGAGAAGAGCAAGGAGAAAGAGGAGGCGAGAAGCAGGTCCCCCCTGCGCTCCCCCCGCGCCCCCCGCAGCCCCTCAGTGCGCACAGCCATCAGTTTTTTCAGCGGGCGCTTTGATAAGTGGGGGGGAGGGGCAGGGGGTGGAGGAAGTGGGGGGGGAGGCAGCAAAGGTGGGGAGGGGAGTGAGGTGATCCGGAGGGGGCACACGGCCACAGGCAGCATTATTAGCGCCATGGGGCTTCTGGCGGGTGCAGGAGGCGGGCATGCGGATGGGGGGGAGAGGGGCGGGGAGAGAGGGGCGCGGGGGGGAGAGCGAGCAGGGGAGAGGGGCGGGGAGAGGGGAGGCGAGAAGGGGGGAGAGAGAGGGGGAGGGGGAGCAGGCGGTGGGGGGTCTTCGGAGGGGAAAGAGGGCGGGAACGAGAGCGTCAACAGCAGCAGCAACCAGCAGCAGCAGCAGCAGCAGCAGCAGCAGCAGCAGCAGCAGGGGGGCCCGCCAGCAGGAGCGAGCAGGCTATGGGGTGTAGCAGCGGGGGCAGCATCGTTCCACTCGCGCATGGTGAGCTTCAGCGGGGTTCTCCTGAAGGACGAGGACCGGGGCATGCTGGGGCGCGGAGTGGGCGACTTGCGGAAGAAATACGAGGTGGGGGAGAAGGTGGGGGAGGGGCGCAGCGGTGTGGTGGTGCGCGCGTGCGTGGAGCGCAAGAGCAAGGCGCGGTTCGCGTGCAAGTCCATCGCGAAGACGACGCTGGGCGATGCGAAGAAGGTGGAGGCGCTGCGGGTGGAGGTGGCGGTGATGGAGGCCGTGGGGTCGCATGCTAATATTGTGGCGCTGCATGATACTGTGGAGGACGCTCAGGTGCGTTCGGTGGGGGGAAGGAGGGAGGTGGGCGGCGCGCGTATTTGCGGGTGCATGGGAGTTGGGGGTGCATGAGTGTGGGGGTGCATGTCTGTGTGGGGGTGCGTGGGTGTGTGGGGGTACATGTGCCTCGACCACCTCTCTATCGCCGCTTCTCTATCCCCGCCTCTCTCGCCCCTCCTCTCTCCCACCTACCAGGACCTGATAATGGAGCTGTGCACGGGCGGCGACCTGCTGTCGCACATCAAAGGGTCACTTCTTCACGCTAATCCCCACCCCTCGCCATCCCCTCTTCACCCCCTCCCCTCCCCCGCATCCCAGGACGTGCACTTGATAATGGAGCTGTGCACGGGCGGTGACCTGCTCTCACACGTGAACACGGCGCCGCACATCTCTGAGCGGCACGCGGCGGCCATCTGCCGGCGCATCGCGGACGCGGTGCGCTTCTGCCACCGCCGCGGCATCTGCCATCGCGACCTCAAGCCCGAAAACGTGCTGCTCGCCTCCAAGGGCGCCGCTGGGGCCGACCTGCGCGTGGCTGACTTTGGGATCTCCACCTTCATCGAACCAGGTGGGGGGGTCGCTCTGGCGTCCGTTGTTTGTCCGTCTCCCATGCTGCCGGGGGCTGCTGCTCTGTTTTTTAGGCGCCTTGAAAGCTGAACCGTTATCCATCCTTCTGCATACTGCCCTCTGCTGCTGCTGCCCTCCACCCTGCCACTCCTCCCACCCTCCCTCCATCGTCCCTCTCTCCCCCCTTCCCTCCCTCCCTCTCTCCTTGCCTGAGCTCCATCGCAACCCCGTCCCCTTCCTTGGACCCATATCCTCCTACTCCACCCACCCCGTGGACCCCTCACCGCACGCCAACGCAGGCCAGCGCATTCGCGGGTACGCGGGCAGCCCCTTCTACATTGCTCCAGAGGTGCTCAATGGGCGGTACGGCTTCGAAGTGGACGTGTGGAGCCTGGGGGTCATCCTCTACACGCTGCTGTCGCAGCGCCTGCCCTTCTGGCACAGCACGGATATCGGCGTGTACCGCGCGATTCTCAAGGGCCATGTGGATACACACACGGGCGCGTGGCTGCATGTGAGCAAGGATGCCGTGCATCTGGTGCGCCGCATGTTGTGCCAAGACCCTGCGGAGAGAATCACTCTCGACCAGCTACTAGGTAATCCCATCCCACCACCCCTCTCTCTGTTCTTGTCTCTTCTCTCCCCCCCCCTCCCTTTTTTTTTTCCTTTCTCTCCAGTGTTTCTCTTCCTGGTTCCCAGCATTTCGTTGCCATCGAAACACATCCCTAACCTCGAGCCTGGATTGCTAACACCAATGAGACCCCTCTGCTGCACCCCCGTGCCCCGCCACCAGAGCACCCCTGGATTCTGAAGCACGACCGCGACACGTCCCCTCTACCGCAGCCCATGCCAGACCTGCCCAACTGGAAGCTGAGCAAGCGGCGCCGTGCCATTGCTCGCTCCACCGCCATCGTTGTGCCGTCCTTCCGCCTGCCCTTCTGCATCACCCCTCCTGACGGCGCCGTGTCCAGCGAGACAGAAGGGGACACGGAGACAGAGGGCGAGTCTGAGAGGGTTGCTGGTGGTTACATTCTGGGTTACTCCGGTCCACCTGTGAGTGGTGGTGGTGGCAGCGGCAGTAAGGGTGGTGTTGCTGGAAGCAAGTCGATTACTGGCGCAGCTGTTGCTGCTGGGGTGACACTTGGGCGAAGGGGCGGTGGAAGCGGACCCTTGCTCCCCACCACGTCGTCGTCGTCCTCCTCTCTGTCATCCCGCAACGTCCCGCTCACGTCTCTCATCACACCTCTCTCGCCCTCGCTTGCGTCCCCATCGGCCGTGCTCATCCCGCCGTCCCTCTCAGCGCTCTCTAGCAGCTCCAATCGCCGCACCTTGCCTCGCTACCGCACTGCAACTGACAAGTACTAACTCCCTTCCACCCCCTCCCTCTGACCCCATTCCCCACTCCACACCGCTACACCGGTATCTGCTCCTGGCCTCCCACTCTTTTCCTCTGGCTGCACGATTTTCCATGTGCATGTGCATGTGCATGGATGCTGGTATGCATCCATGGCATGCTGGCATGCCCTGCTTGCATCCACCAATGCGGGTTCACGGCTCAACATCAGCTGCAGCTTGCAGCGCTTTCAACACTAGCTGTCTAGGTAGCACTGACACCGACCATACAGCTCCAAACAGCGCGCCACTCTTACTGCTATCTTCACCTGGAGTCTCCTTGGTGTACGGGCTAAGCTCACACAAAGAAGAGATACCTGGAATCTGTATGAAATGTTCCCCCGTGGAATGCGCTTTGTCCATGCCCATCGTGTTGTACAAAGAACTGTTACCCTTACTATACCACGTATACTAGGCTAGGACTCTAGCAGTCTGTAAAGGCACAATGGAAAACAATTAAAGGGTGCTAATCAGGGCCTCAGATTGCAGGCTTTTTACCCTGATTCAGGGTAAAATCAGGGCTTTTTTGGGGGGTGACCCTGATGAGACAGGATTTTTCTAAGACAGGCCTGAAATTTCAGAGTTTTTTTAAGAGTGAACTCTGATCGATCAGCGTGCCTAGTGTAGTGTGGCCTGTTTTTCCAGCGTCGTATCGAAGCCCGACCCTGATTCTTGTAATAGCGGATTCCCAGTCCCAACTCCCCCACCCCGTGATTTCCGTGAATCCCCCCCCACCGTCCCTGTCAATGACGCCGACTCGAGTGTGACCGACCAGATTCCAGCCCCGCTGGAGAATATTCTGCCAAATTTCCTCCAGCACATAGTGCTCGGCGGGGTCTAATTGGCTATTCGAAAGTTGTCAGCCACTGCTGTCTTCAGCAGAGTGTGGCTGCAGGGGTTGGATTGGCTCATTGCCAAATTTCAGCCACAGCAACCAATAGACCAGGTACAATGTTAGACAGTTGGCCCACCAGCACGGCAGTAGACCGCTACCCACCCGCTTCGTGAACCACAGGCATGCATGCAGAAGGCTGTTGCGAGCCGCGTGCCCTCCAGAAACCTCAAGAGACCCCATCCTCTTCATCGATGTCTTCAATCGATGCTGTGCTGCCACACGTGCTGCCTCGTTCAAGTCGGGTGCTTCCACCCTCGTCATTCCATTTCTCCTCCACGGTTGTGACTGGTTTCTTTTCCGTTGCCATCGCGCGATGGCAGCACCTAGCGACGGTGATCCAGAAGGCGATGACGGTGGTAGCATTCCTCGTGCAGACCTGTGCACGGGGCTCGACTTGCTCCTCTCGACACTGTCTAGCCTTACCCACATCCCGATTAGAGCCGATGCTGCGCCTAGAGAACAGGAACCTGCAAGAAAGGAAATAGCCGACTCAGTTTCCGATGTAGTCGTTCTTCCTGGGCAGAGTCTTGGACCCGGTCCGTCGGCACTAGCCGCCGTCGATCGCCCTGCTACTGCGACGACAACTCCCAAGCGCCAAGGTCGCTATCGCCAGGCCAAGTTACCGTTCGCGAAGCCGAATCCGGGAACTGCCGACCCGCCGGAGTCGATACCTGCTGATGACGATGAAGAGCCGTCTGAAGACGATACACCTTCAACCTCCAGGAAGTCTCTAAGTCCTTCCGAGCTTTACGCTGAGGCTCTTTCCCGTTACAAGTCGAGGTGGCAGGAGCAGTTTCCCTGGCTCCTTTTGTGTAAAGCTAACGATGGGCGCCCTGCCTTTAAGTGTACCATCTGTCTGGAGCATGCAGGGCTCTCTGGAAGGACTGGTCGTCGTGGGCCAGGAATCACAGACGCACAAACACAGGCGTTCAACAGGCACGCTGGTACCGGAAAGCACCGCCTCGCGTTCGGGAAGCAAAACGTTCTGCTGCAGGAAGCTACTACCCAGACGCGAATCGATCAGAACCCGCACGCCGCGGATTTGGAGAGGGAGCGAGTGACTGCGCTTCTCGACCTGTTGTACACATGTTGCAAGAACAACGAACCCATGGACACATGGGTCAAGTTCAAGAACTTCCCCGAGGGCGGATACGGGACGTACATGAACTCGTAAGGCCTAAATTCCTTTAGACTTTTAAGCTTCGGATTCTTACTTTCCATCCTTATAAACCATTACTGACGAGATTTTTTATGTTATTAAACGCAGGTACGGTTTCGGGGAGTTCACGCAATCCACCGCGACCTGGCTGCACACCACCCAGCTGGAGCACCTCCTGTGGAGCCCGTTCATCGGACTTAGCCTCGACGAGAGCACGGACCGTTGCAGAGGAAAGCACATGATAGTCTTCTGCACTTTCATCCGGGACCTCCGCGTTGTCACCGAGTACCTGGCGCTGCTCAGTATTGACAAGGCGGATGCCTCTTCTCTACTCGCTCTGCTGCTCTCCCACCTGCAAGCAATTGGTGTCGATCTCCGCCGCATCTCGGGCATCAGTACAGATGGGGCGGCGGTGATGATGGGCTCGAAATCCGGCCTGGTGACTCGACTCCGGATGCGTATCCCTCACCTGGTCTCCTGTCACTGCATCGCTCACCGGTAATTTTTTTTTTCCTTTTTTTTTTTTCCGCATTTGCACATATGGTGACTCGGGACAATACTAGCTATCACTCATGGTGGTTTGTTTGATTTCTCCCTGTGCTCTTTTCCATGTGCAGAGAGGCGCTGGCAGCTAAGGCGGCGGCGGAGGACATGCCATTCTTCAACATCATCGATGATGTCATCAAGGAACTGGCCGAGTTCCTTGGTCGCTCAGGACCGTGGCACCAGCGCTTCCTCGACCTCCAAGACGTCTTCCTCTCGACGTGCTTGGAGCTGCAGGGTATTCACCAAGTCAGATGGCTCTCACGCGGCGATGCCATCGGACGGCTGGTGAAGGTCTTGCCAGCCATCGTCGTCATGCTGTCCGAGTTTGCCGACGACCGTCTTTACAAGATTGTCACGAGCTACAGGTTTTGGTTTGTGCTCATGTTTCTTGCTGATGTTCTTGAGCAGATGAACATTCTCAACAAGACTTTCCAGAGCCGCGAGGTAAGTTTCGTCACATGGTGTTCCTAAACCGCTACTGACGAACCATTGTTGTCTTACTTGTGTTCTCAAACCCCTTCCCGCAGCTGGACATGTCAACGATTCACGCGTCGGTCTCCCGCGTGACGTCCCTCCTCGAAAGCCACTACGTCGACTGCGGCGATGACTTCAACGGGGGCCCGAAAGACCTGCTCACGGCCTTCCTTGCCCGTCACGGTCCTGGTGGTACGCGCAGCGTTACTGTCGAGGGCGTCGACTCCGATGGGCGCCCGAGTCGATTCACCTTCGACCTGCACGAGGAGCCATTGGATGGCTACCCGGGTGAGGGCAAGCACGACGACTGTGTCGTGGCGTGCATGGCGCTGGCAAAAGGCATGGTGCAGAACCTGGACGAGCGGCTGGGGGACTTGAAGCAGCTGGGTGGTTCAATGCTGTTCTGTGCGGACCAGTGGCCGAAGGGGTGGGAACGTGCTCCACGGAAGGCCCAATGTCTGGAGTGGTTCGGGATGATGGTCGACCTCTACCATGCAGGGGAAGCCGAAGAAATTCTTCCAGGTATCTCACCTGTCTTTAACCCCGAGGCTTGCACGATTTGTTAATGTGGTCCGCTCTACCCTACTGTACTAATACTCTCCTCGTTCTCCCTCCTACCCTTCCCCTACTGGCATGCATCAACAAGCGAGCGGCTGTGCTGGAGATCCCCCATTTCTGCCCCGTCCTTGCCGCCCTGCCAAAGGGTGACAAGGGTTTCTACACCGGCTTGATGACCATGCTGAAGTCTCCAGACTGGGAGGATAGCTTCCCCAATCTCGTCAAGCTGTGGTGCGCTACGGCAGTTCTTCCCCTGAGCACAGTGGAATGTGAACGAGGGTTCTCCCGCCAGAATGTGATCAAGAGCTGGCTGCGGGGCAGCATGAAGGACTCACGCCTTGGAGACTTGATGTGTATGAGCCTGCTAGACTATGACCCAGACTGGGATGCCATCATTGACATCTGGAGAGCCTACAAGAAGCGGAAGCCCTACAGCACTGCCCCACAGAGCAGAGCCCAGAAGAGTAGGAAGGGGAAAGAGGAGGAGGACGATTCCCCTGTAGTCCACGACAGCGTGCAGGCACAGGAGGATGCTTAAGTAGGTCCTAGTATGCCCATGTTAAATTGTAAACCCTTGTCTTTAAAAAGATAGTAATAATGGGCATTTAGTTGAACAGTGTGTTTTTTTTAGGTTACTCTGTTTTTTCAGCGCAAAATTTTTACAACACCCTGATTGATCAGCGTAAGTTTCTTTGCGTGGCCTGAAAAAACAGTGAGGCAAGGGGGGGGGGACCCTGAGCGATCAGCGTGCCCCAAAACGAATCTGAGGCCCTGGTGCTAATGAACAAAGTTCCTTGGTAATCATGCTCAATCATAACCAACAAGCCATCTCTTTTGTATCTGTACTATACAGTGTGTAAAGTGTTCATAGTTATATGTGTTAGCATATACTATAAACTGCAGCCTTGCTAGGGTACATATTGTATAGAGTACAACACTCTAGATATACTGTGTACTGCCCTCCTCTAGTCCAACCTCTCTCTCTACATGAATTATTATGTTTCGCGTTATTTTCTAAATACCTAACAAAAGTGCCATGCGCTTGTAATCGAATAAAATTTATAAGCCCAAGGCTTATGAAAGGAATTTTATGGAAAGAAGGATTTGAGCACGTGAAAATGTAGTTCTTGAAATTTGCATTCTAGCGCGTGAGCACGTCAAAACACGAGAAGTTGGCTGACAAAGCTTCCACCACCAGATCCACTCGGGAATGACTGATGTCGCGAGCCAATCGGAGCCAACACAGTGAGCGAGATTCGTTCTTCTGGTTCGGAATGTTAAATTATATATACGTTATATATAATTGTAGGCTTGGTAGCTGCTACTGAAACTTACTGTAGAGGGTACAACACCCCTCCTTGTATCCCTCTCTCTTCTATTCTCTCTCTTTTCTCTCATCAACTCTCCTTCTACCTAAAACCTCACGCCATTCCATGGCCGCCCACACTTCCTAGCTACCTAGCCTTTGTGATATGGTAACAAAGCAGGTTGCCCTTCCCGGGCCTGCTCCCTACGCTTCCGTCGCGCACTCCTCCTCTCCCTCTTGCGCTGCCATGGCGGCCGCCTCGTGCTGCTGTGGCGGTGTCATCGTGCCGCCGGCCGCATCATGCTACCGCGACCATTTCATCGTGCTTCCGTGGCGTCGCGCTGTCGTGGCGTCGAAGTCACGCCATGGCGGCGTCGTCGACGTTGAGCCGTGGCGGCGTGACGGCGCCGTCGTGCTGCCATGGCGACGTGCTTCCAGCGCGCGTACGGCACGGTCGGCAGCGGCCAGCGCCCCGTTTTAGGCGCCGCCGGTCGTGACGCCCGCACACCAGCCACGGGCGTGATGCTGGACCACGCCTTCCCCCCTCCCCCCCCTCCCCCTTTTCCGTACTTGGTAGGTGCTACTAAAACTTACTGTAGAGGGTACAACACCCCTCCTTGTATCCCTCTCTCTTCTATTCTCTCTCTTTTCTCTCGTCAACTTTCCTTCTACCTAAAACCTCACGCCATTCCATGGCCGCCTACCCTTCCTAGCTACCTAGCCTTTGTGATACGGGAGGCGCTCGAGAGGGGCACGGTAGAAACTCCGATATGTAAATCCCCCGTTTAACATAAGTTTTTACAAAAAATGTGATGCTCCTCGCCTATAGGAAATACATTTTCAAAAATATGGGTGCACTTATGATGAAATAACGGATATAAGCGCACTTGCACTCCATAAGCGCAATGGGCAAAATAAAGGGATGCGCCTATATCCAGGGGATTACGGTACAAATATACCCCCCTGACCCCATAGTCGTGGCCTGTTCCTCCCGCAAATAATAACTCGTCGAGAGGTCCGGGATGGACCTTCCTTTACCACCACCAGACCAGACTGTACCACAACGTTTTCTTAATACAATACGCTAAACCGCTTCGAACCTCTTCTATTATCCACGCCAAACCGTGTCAAGATACACGCTGGGGTTGCCCTTGAGATCCCCGGAGAAGGGTTACATGTGCAGATCTTGGGGGGTTATGGGTGCACTTACCCACTACTTAACAATCCTTTTAACTCTATGGTTAGTGACTGAGTACTAACATGGTACAGAGCCAAAAATCTCGGGTTCAAATCATAGTGGGCACTACTGGAAGTGCAAGCGCTGCAGAGGCAGTTGCGTCTTCCGCTTATCCCAACGAGGGGGGGTGTCAAGAGACATGCTGGGGTTGCCCTTGAGATCCTCGGGGAAGGGTCAGAGGTGCAGAGCTTAGGGGGTTATGGGCGGACTTACCCGCTACTTAACAAACCCTTGAACTCAGTGGTTAGTGACTGGGTTCTGACAAACCGAGCCTGCTGATCAGAACACCAAGGCTGGATGGTAGAGATGTTTGATTTCCATCATGTGCAATCAACCATTATTTGCAGCTAACAAGGCTGAGCCCACAAGGATTCCACATTACCCGCTTTTCCTAGCATCATGGGACTCGGCGTTGCTTTCTTTCGACCCATAATAACCGCCGAGTCGCCAGCAGAGCAGCACACACAGCTGCTAATATGATCACCCGTGACTCACGGCGGCCTTGCAACGCGAAAGGCGCAACGCGGCCTCGTCCTTGTCTGGCTGTCCTGTCTAGCTCCCTTACTGGCTTGCATATCCCCATGTTTTCCAGGAACTTGGTTGGTGTCGTCCATATCCAGGACCTCAGTGTCACCACCACGTTCCCTGGTCGTGATAGCATGCACGTACGCCGCCATGGGCGCTTGCCTTGCCACCTTTGACTGCGACCGTGCGTCCGGTCCTCACACTGCACACAGAGTCCCCCATGGTAGCCGCGCCCACCTAGGTTGCCCTGTCCTGCTCCAGTCTCTCCCTCACTCACCCAGCATGCCTGTGGCACCACCACTTAGGTCACCCTGCGCTCCTGCATCTATCACACGACACACCATGCTCTTGTCACTGGTCTCCCCGCGTCACTCCCGGCTCTCCCCGCCTCACTCGCGCCCGCATGCGCCTCCTGCTTCGAGGGTCAGCAACGCGCCGCCCCTCACTCCTCCTCATTTTCTCCCACTACTTCTCCACTATACATGCTGCACATGGGCATCTGAGGCCCAGCCCCCATCTAGGGACCCCACTGGGAACACTACTTTCTGGTTGTCGTTGACGACTACACCCCGGTTTACCACGGTTTTCCCATTGGAGCGGAAGGCCAAAGTGCTTGACGTCCTCCTTCCATGGCTCCGTGTCGTCCACTCTCAGCGCTCCCTACCTGTGCTCCGACTTCACTCCAGCAGTGGTGGCGAGTTCGCCTTCGGTTGCCTTGGTATGTTCTATCGTGCGGAGGGCATCACCTAGACGTTCACACTTCCGGACTCACCGCAGCAGAATGGGGTAGCTGAGTAGAGCATCGGCCCGGTCATGAAGGTGGCTCGCACCTCCATGGTCCATGCCGGCGCACCCCATTTTCTGTGGCCGTTAGCGGTGCGCTACATGGCTCACAAGCTCAACAAGTGGTCTCGCTCCTCGCAGCCACAGGTTTCGCTGACCCTCCTCTAGATCTGGTCTCTCGGTGACACATTGGCGTTCCACGTCTGAGGTTGCTTGGCTCACATCTGCATCCCCGCCGCGGACAAGCTCCCAGCCCGCGCTGTCCCCTGTGTCTTCCTCGAGTTCCTGCTCGACGCTCCTATCTGGCTGTTCTACCACCGTCTACACCACCGCTTCTTTCAGTCTTGTAATATTACGTTCGATGAGTCCGTCTCCTTTTTCGCACGCTTTCCTCACTGTGGCACTCTTTTTTCTTCTCCCCCTCTCATCCTTGCCCCTCCTCCACCTTCTGCTCCCCTCCCACCCCGTCCGGCCCTATCGCCGACGGCACTCCCCTCCCCTCGGTTGGGCCTCAAGGGACTCTACTGACTCTCAAGGCCCCGTGGCTCGGGGTGCGACTGCCGCAGCTGCGGCGCCCCCTCCCCCTAGTCCCGGTGTCCCAGGCACCTAAGCAGTCTCCCCCGCTACCGTCGCAGCAGCAGCAGCAGCAGCAACGTCGGGTAGCTGTGGAATCTGGGGGTGTTGGTTCTGAGCGTGTTGGTTCTGGGGGTGCTACTCCTGGGGGTGCTTGCTTAGAGAGTACTGACAGTGGTGGGGCTGGGGTCCTGGCATGGGTCGGGAGTGGCCACAGCAGCAGCAGTAGCCGTAGCCGCGGTCTGCCCTTCGTCTCCTTGGAATTTCCTCCGGTTCCCCTGACCGCCCGCCCCTCCCTCCTACTGTGACTCTGTGAGAGTAGAAGCCTGTTATACTTCTTTCTCACTCGGCCGTGCTCAGCTAAGCAGCACCAGTGGGAAAAACTGCCTCGAAAAACCGCCGGGGGCAACTAATTCTGCGCCGATTCTGGTAAGCACCAGCTCCGTTTTTTTTAATTATTAACCCCTCAGTGTGTGTTTTGAACAGGATGGTGAACTTCAGCAATGCTGAGGTTACCTAGCAGCTCTTCACCCACATTGCCGTCCTACTAGAGGAGATGCGAGCCGATTGTGAGGCTTGGCAAAACGAGTTCGAGCAAATAACTCGACTCGCCATGCACAGCACAATACGACAACTACGACGACGCAGCAGTCGCAGCAGTTTCTCGAGGCTCCGAAGCTGCATCCACCTGAATCGTTCGATCCAAGCAATCAAAACTTTGAAGTCCGCAGATGGGTTGCCAGCATGGAGATTTATTTCGCAGTCGTCGGATGGAGCTCTCCGGTTTGGGATGGACAACGCATGCAA